TTCATAATATTCACATTTCACATATTTTTTTGTCATAAATTATGTATGCTTTAAGCAAAATGTTAATGATGCTTTAAATATTAATTATGTCTGAGAACGAAATTCGTTATTAACTATTATAATTTAATCGTTCAAGCGTTATGTTTTTTTTCTAAATCATAAATAATTTTTTAAGGTCAATGATAAAGAACTTTTATGAGAATGATGAGTTAAATGGAGTAGGGAGTTCAACATTTTCGAGAAAGAGGAATGATCATGGTCACAAAATCTGTTTTGAAGTCGATTAGACAACGCATCGACCTATTTCTAGGTGTTTTCTGTGAAGAAAAATGTTTCAGCATCGAGAAACAATTTTCCCTCATGCTTTCTCTCTCTAATTTCGCCACTGGTTTTAGTGTTGACATTCATCAATGAATAGAAAATACAATCTGCTTCAAAATTTGTAGTTTTATTTAAACTTATACATATCCTTTACATAAAGCAAATGTATGATCAGGTCCAAGTGCTATAGAAATAACACGAGCAGGTACAAAAACACGCATTGGCATAGGTGAATCTTCATCAAATTCAACACCTAATGCTCCATATCGATTTTTTCCCCACATAAATAATTCTCCATTATTTGTTATTGCTGCTGTACGAAGTAAACCACATGTAACATGATCAATTTTAACATCATGATTAAATTCATTTTGTCCAAATAATTCCATAGGCATTTGTTGTGGTATATCAATTGTTGTATGTTTTGGTCCAAAACCAAGTAAACCAAAACCCCACATATATAATTTGCCTTGATGATCGACAACTGAACATAATGAACCACCAGCAGCAACACATTTTATATTTTTCAACGAAGATCCATCACGAAAACGAAGATGTCGTGGTTGAGCACATTGTAATGATTTTGGTGAATCAATTGGATCATTCATAATACCTAATTGACGATATTCATTATTACCCCAACCAAATACATCGCCTGATTTATTTAAAACTAATACAGAATCACCTTTTGATGCTATTTGTACAATATGTTCATGTTCAATATCTCCACGAACTCGTTCCGGTCTTGATACACATTCATAATGACCAACACCTAATTGTCCATCAGTATTTAAACCACAAGCATAAACACGACCTTTTTCTGTAAGGAATAATGTATGGTCTTGACCACAAACGATATCAATTACTTTATCATCATTTTCATTTAAATCTATATTAAATGAATGAATTAACATACTGTTCTTATAAATTTCATCAGGTACTATTTGACGAGCACATTGACCAAATGCATTATTACCAAATGAGAAGAGACCTAAAAATCAAACGTTTTTTTTTTTTTTTTTCAATATGAAATTTCAATTTTAAGTGAAGTAATGTGTTTCGAGCGTAATATTCTTTTTATATACAGACTTAATGTGAATAAGACAAGTACAATCTCAAGTGGTAAGAGATATTCAAGGATTGAACAGTATGAGTTCCTTCTCAGTGCGAGTGTAGGTATGTATTTTCTCTTCAGATGACATCGACGTCGTATTATTTCTTGTTGCTGTACTTATACATCATCCCTCACTTTTTTGTATGCAATAAAAAAGTCTTCATCTCACTAGTTGAGAATCTTAAAATAAACTTTTTTTTGTCAGTTTCTCTTGCTGCCAAATTAATATCATTCAGTAGTCTTTGGTATATGGCTTTACAACGATTGGTTGCTATGAAAATTAGTCGCAATGCTATAAAATAAAATCAGCAAAAACATTTTTTTTAACATTATAGAGAAATATCTCAGATGTGTCCAGACAATAACTAATCATCTATTCAAAGACAAGAAAGATTAGATATGAATACAAACGTAAATGTTTAATGAATTTTTCTAAATGAGCGTAAAGCCTTAGATGAGAGTAAACAGTAGTTGCTCTAAAAGTATTCCATAATCTTCTATAATGTTTCCTTTTTTTTTTAGCTTTTGTCTACTTATTATTTGTTGTCTTGTAATATTTATATAAATTTAAAGTGTGAGTGTTAACATTCAATTACTGCTTACTAACGAAATCATCTCAATTCACCCGTTCTATGGGATAAATCTTTATTTTCACATGCTACTCTCATTCTCGTACGATGCTATATGTGATTGAATCACATGTCTGCAAATTGAGATTTGTAAGAAGTAAAATAACAATTAAGCTTCTGTCAAATACGTGACTAATTCTCGTAGCGCTCAATTGTCATTTTCCTTTGGTATAAATCATCGCTTGTCATGCATGTATTGAGAAGTCACACCTCGGTTAAAGATTTACATAAATAAAATATAACGTCAAAATTCATGTTTCAAATTGAAGATGTTTATCTGTGCAACAAACCTGATTTATCTGTTAAAACAACTGAATGTGCTCTACCAGCTGCTATTTGTATAATTCTTGTTGATCTCGGATGTTTAATAGGTAAATGAATTATTTTTGGTACAATAACATAATCACCAAAACCTTTCGGATGATTACGATCTTTAAAAAAAGTCAATTGACTATCTGTATTAAGGCCACATCCCCATAATTTATCATATTTTAATGTATTTGATGAAAATAATGTAAAACCATTTCCACATGCTATACGACTTATTTTTATTTGATGTTCATAAGAAAATGGATGTCTATAAGGAATTGAACGACGAAGACGAGTTTGTTGTGTTGAATCAGTTTGTTTTGGATCAGGTCGTTTATTAACAAAATCAAAAACACCTAATGCTCCTGTTCCAATATAACCCCAACAATAAATAGATGGATAAAGACGTGAACGTTCACCAACAAAACTTACTGTTGGTACTGGTTGTTTTTTTGAATTTATTATATTTATATTTATATAACGTAGAAATAGTTTTCTATAACATTTAGAACAAATCTTTAAAGATTGTTGAATAATGTTCATTTTATCTGGAATCAACAATGAATGAAAAAAAGAATAAATTACTTATATCTTAATCATCAATCGACAATAAAATTAAAAGCAAAGCAAAAAGAAAATGTCAATCATGGTTTAAGACAAGGAATATGTAAAACTTGTGGATCTGTCCAACCTTGTTGCATAACAGAGTATGGAAATGACTCGATACCATGACAAGCAGCACCATGTTGTCCATCTTTATTAAGTGCTAATACAGCACCAGTAAAATTTGGATAAAATTTAGCAATACGTTTTATTGCATCTAAACATGCTTCATCAGGTGCAACACCTTGTCGCATTAATTGTACGGCATGATGAGAAGGAACAAAACGTTGCATAACATCACCATCACCTGTAGCACATGCACCACCAACTTCATTATCAACATAAGCACCACTACCGATCAATGCTGAATCAGCAACACGACCTGCAATTTTGAATTGAAGACCATTTGTTGAAGCACCTGCTGCCATATCACCATTTGAATCTAATGAAATCATACCAATTGTATCATGTTCTCCGCATGGTAATTGACCATGAGATGAAATCTTTTCATCTATAAAACAATAAAAGTTGTTATCACAATCTCTGCGAAATTAAAATGTGAAACACAATGTAGCTGTTTTTGCTAATTACAGGAAAATTGTTTTCTTCTATCTATTCTGGGATACATTTGTTCATCATCCTTTCATTTAGTAGTTCAGAAATACAGTAAGGAAGTGTTTCATATTTTTTATATGAGACACTATGAATATGCAGTCTGTTATTAGAGCTCGTTAGTAGTAAACAAGTCACCGAATACCAAAAATTGAACAAAAGTATCTCATATGTTCGGGATGGCTATCTAATACCGATCAGAAGACTATCAATTTTAGATCGTATTTCAAAAAATACAACACTATATATGCATAAATGTAAATATTACCACATTGTATTTTGGGCATGTATGGTCCACAGCTAGTAGTTGGATCTGGTTGTACATTACGTCGGAAATTTGGTTGACAATTTTGATTTTTCCATTTATTCCATGTTTCAATTGATGCATTACTATGAAGATCTTCTTCTTTAAAACCCATTTCAATTGCAAATTTAGTTGCACTTTCACCGACTAATAATGAATGTGTTGAATATTGTAAAACAGCACGAGCTACACTAATTGCATTTTTGATACGGTGTAAACTAAAATTAAACGAAGACAAAATTATAGCGATATCATAAAAAGAGTTTTAAAAAAACTTTCTCCTCAGAAGTATTTGCTTATGTTGTCTATAAGTATGAAGAGTATATTATTTTCAATTCATCTTATTCTCCCCTAATCGATTATTATCCATAATCAGATAAATTTGTAATAATAGAATTGTACTTTTTATTGTCGGGAATACTCGTTTCTGTACTTTTATGGTGCTTAATAAAATACAGAATTTATCGTGGCTAAAATAAAGCTAAGTCAAACGCTTAGCTCTTGTTTAATCCTATCAAATTTTATTTTCTGAATTAAAGGTTTCATCTTGTTTTCATTATTAGCCATTTAACAAGTCCTCATAGATTTTTCTGACACAATTTTGTAGAAAAAATAAATGAATGAAATTCTTATTTGAATTTTAAACATTATTCAAAAATAGTCGATATACTTTGCAACAGCACCAACACTCATTGTACGTCCATCTATAATAAGAGCATCCAATGTAGTTTCGCCATCTTCAGCCGGATGATTTCCCCATCCTACACTACCATCACATTGCTCATCTTCACATGTTCGACAACCAACTTCAACAGCATCTAAACATGTCGCATCAGGCGTCATCATTTTAGCAAAAGCATTTCTTGTTGCATTTATAAATGGCCATGTATTAACAACAATCGGCGATGATGGTACTTGTTTTGTAGTAGACATTTTTAAATGACAACCCAATAATATCAGCAAACAAAGAAGATTTGTACCCATCAAAACAAATAAAATAAACGAAATAAGATACAATATCAAACTATTTTGAGGTCTTTCTTTGTTTTATATTAACAGTAAAATAAAGTCTGCTATATTTTATACAGGAAAGCAAAACAAAAAAGCATTATTTAATACAAAAACGATTTTTTGGTTGTTCATGTGTACTCCAACGTTTTTCAGGATCATATGGTTCCCAACGACATGAAGGAAAAATATGTTTATTTCGTTCGTACCATGAACGTAAACAAATTTTTCCTGCATGAGATATTGTTTGTCCTGATGATTGATTATCATTTGATGGTGATGATGTCGAATCATTTGCATTCATTCCCGTTGTTGTTGTAGCCGTTGCTGGTACTTCAACAATAGCATTTGGTTTAAGTGGTTCTGTGAATGTAAATAAAAGTCCTGTGCGACCACGAGCACGTGTCACAATAAAATCATAAAATGAATAATGATGTGGAAGTATAACATCATCTTTAACGAATATGAGTTGATCAACTGAAGCTGATTTTAATTCATTAAATATATTTTCACGACGAAGAATTTCAAGTGCTTTTGAAAGAAACATTTGTATTGTCATACGTTTTTTAATTCGAACTGAACGACGATGTCCTGAACCATCCCAATAACTAAAAACAAGATCAACTTCTTCATTTTTTAATTTTTGTTGTTTTTCAACCCATTCTTGACGAAGTTTTTCACGTAATATTCGTTCTTCTTCTTCACGATCTTTATCTGGTAAGAAACTTGTATCGACATCTAAATGATAAATATTTTAATCTAATCGTAGAGTGGCAGTTTTGTTTATCTTACCTGGATTTTTTCCAAGACGTTTCTTTTTGCTTGCAGCAACAAGACGATCAAGTTCAGCAGCAGTTAGACCTGGTTGTGATGAACTATCATTACTATCAACATCTTCATTTTTTGGTATATCATTTGATAATGAATTATCATCAGTTGTAATAGGCTAGAAGATAAGAACAAATTTGAATTTTTTTTATCTAAGAGAGAGTTTTGAAACTTTTATAGATAAAATTCAATGAGTGAAACCATCGACTAAAAATTTCTAAAGGATTCCTTCTAGAAAATATGAGGGTCGTGCAGACTGAAAGTCAACCCCACTGCTTTTTCCATTGCAATACGTCTGATCGAATTGACTCACAGAAATGGATAATCTTTTCTAACTGTAGCGTTTTTCGTATATCTTGGCAAAAACTACCGGCACACCCTAATCACTTTCTAGTATATGTAAAAAAAAGGTTTCAGCTTGATTGAATCTGCTGTGGTTAAAAAAGGCGGGGGGGGGGGGGGGGGGGGGTTTTCAATTTTTTTTTTGTTAAAAAAAAATTTTTTTTTAAATACCAGGGAAATAAGGGTTATTTTTGTTTGTTTTTTTTTTT